TGGAACCACAAACCAGATAACTCTGGACTGATATAAAGCCCATTATCCAATTCATTCACATTGTAATACCAGGATATTGTACAAAGCCTTTTAAAAGAAAAATTTTAGTCGCCAAAGTCTAAAACATTTCTCTATCCAAAAAATTAGAAAAAATAAAGTAATTCAGATACCCAAATGCTCTGTTTGCTTGCAAGAATTAGCCAAAGTAATATATTGACATTCAAGTTTTTCACAATTTAAGACCTACAAACCCCAAAAATCACCCTCCATCTTTCAAAAAAAAAGAAATTTTTTATATTAATAATCAGCCTTCGATTCTTTTCCTAATTTAAACATACCCACAAGTCAAAACAATCACAACACAAAAGAAATGAAGCAATCAACAGAGGGCATCTAAAACTCCAACAATAAAAGTTACAAGAACTTCAGAAGATCAATACACAACCACATGAAGTACCGAAAAAAATCAAGAAAAATCTTGAAAATGGGTCATGTTATACTGATCTGATGATGTGAAATTACAAAGCAAATCTATGGAAGAAACACGTTGACCGTATGATGCTTATAAGAAGAATGAAACATGAAAAATTTTAAAGTGATTCAAATACATGTTCACAGGACAGAGATAAAAAGAGGATAAGAAGGGTTTGAAGTTTAAATTTAAACCTAGAAAGAACAACAGAAAAAAAATCAAATCTTAGTGGGGGGAGTACCTCAGAATCCACAAAAAATGAAAAAAAAAAAAAAATCGATCGACCGAGAGAAACAGAGAGAGAGAGGGGAGACGGCGCTGCTGATAGAGAAAGAGAAGTAAGTTGGAGGCCTTACAGGGTTTAACGGGTACGGGGCGGGGGCGGGGGCGGGGGTAAGTGTCAGTCCATTCCCGTGCAGGTTTATACGGGATGCCCGTATACGTCTATTGTCTAATACGTATGATCCATCACCGGTCCAAACGGGGTAGGTTTGAACGAATACCCATCTTTTTCAGGTCCACTGCCATCTCTACTTTTTGTGATCACTTGAACTCTATAATGCACTTTGTATCTGATCACAGATCAAATACATGTTTTGTGTTGAGAAGTTTTGACAAACTACTGATCAATTAGGAAAGTTGTCATATGTATATAGCTGACTTGAAACAGGCATTATAGTTTTATTTGTTCAGATAACTTTGTCAAAAATGGTATCATAGGTGGATGGGTGTGGGCCTTAGGTGCTTATCATGCTTATCATGGCTAACCATCGGGATACTAGGCTTGCCCCAACCATCCGCACATAATTATCCAATCTCTCATTTAATTTAAAATTTTGTTTAACAAGGGATGCAATTACGTGACTGTTATTTTCTGGTTTATAACTATTGCTTTATAGATTTATAGTTTAAGTTGTACTACTATTGCTTATGACTTCCTCCTTAGTGTGCTAGAGGAGGAAGCTGTTGCTTAAGTTTATCTACAGCCCCCAAGGGGTTGGAAGTAAGATTTTCAATTAAGGGTTGAGTGCTGATGAATGGAATAAGTGCCTCAGAGAGAAATTAGTGCTAATGAAGGGAATAAGTGCCTATGAGGCATTGATGAGATCAAATTGTGCCAATACTTGTAGTTGCATTTCACATGATTTCTTTGTTGCACTTGCACGCAAGTACCTCCTGAGCTGAGATAGGCCAAATGATTCATTATGGTTATTTCTTGTAATGAGCAGATGCTAGACGATAGATATACCAGTGACAACTAGGTCAAGGATATCATGTTCTAAGTGACAAGTCACGATTCACTTGGACTTACCTGAATATGGTGAGTCCATATGCTAGATAGTAACTTTGGCATCACTTTAAAAATGTGTAATTGTTTTTGTTTCATCCAAGGAGCCTAGTAGGTCAGATGAATTTTAGCAAGTTCTTTGTTAGTGAATCTATATGCAAACTTGATGATTAATACCTATTTTAAGTAATATTTCTATCTCTGGTGGTTATCAGTTGTTAGATGGTCAACTATATGTTTCTGACATCATTGATATATTTTGGCATATAAAGTGAACAACTGTTCATACAATCAATGTCAACTGCGAATTCATACTTTGAGGACCTGCGAAGTAAGCCCGAGGTCATTGATCCTACCCAAAATGAAGACATGGTGGATGTTGGTGAACATGTGAATGATACTGCTCAAAGTGCTCTAAAGCCTAATGTGACTGTCTCTAGCAGTGTTCGTGAACTATTGGAATGCCCAGTGTGCTTAAATGCTATGTACCCTCCTATACATCAGGTTTGATTTAGATTGGCTGGCATGAATTGCATTTTATTTATGATGCTGGTGAATGTTTTTGCATATTTCCTTAATAGGAAATATGGTTGGTTGTGTATGTTTAGTTGTTTTCTTTTTCGTGTTTTATTCCTTTTTTGTGTATCACTATGTTTAGTTTTAGCTCCGTGACATTAATTTTTTGTATGCAAGCAACACTTGATTGTTGTTATTGCAAGTTTCAATGAACATTAGTTTTCTATTTATGGTTGGTTATTTTTGTTGGCCATCATATACATGAGAAAAATGCATCATGTACATGAAGGAAACAAGGAAAATATGCGAATTGACGTTAATCTTGGTTCCAAAAATTTATTCTGGCCTTATTGTGTAATTGTCTTTTCGAACTTTCATTCATCATGTTTTCCTTTTATTTCTTGAAAGCCATATGTATAATTGGTCTCTGTGTGTGTGTTAGCATCTTTCTCTTTGGGGACGTTTGTATACCTCTAGTTTGTTCTACTGGATTTCTTTCTTTTTTTTCCTTGGAAAGTTTAGTATGTGCTAGTATTAGCATGTTTAGTGTTTTAAAGAAAAAGAGTAGTTGCGAGAAAGGCATGAAAATGCCAAAACCAGTTTATGTTGTGTTTATAGCCTTTTAGTAATGTGTACTTCACTGTCACAGAAAGGGATCTTGTTACGGAGATTCAAAGTTATTATTTTGGTTTTCTTTTTATTGCATAGAGTAGCTTTTGTGAATTTTGAATCGTATATATTTTATTTTTTTGATTGTAAATTAAGGGTTTGTTTTTCAGATGTCACACAATGACCCCTTCACTTGCTCAATGTCAATTTCCTAAAAGGTTGTGCTAGTGAGTATGTTAGAGGTATCCAACCCCAAACCAATTACAAATGAGTGGAAAGACCCCTAAACAGAAATAAAAAATTAAAAAATTCACTGCCCTAATCTACCAATGTAGGGTATAACTCTTGTCACACCTTCCCCCACGTGCTAGTCAGGCTTGCCTGTGGAATAATACATGCAATCAAAAAATGCAAACAAACATACGGGATAATTTCAAATGGGTTAGACACTTAGCTAGTTGACCACTCAAGACCTATCTTTGGTATCATGTTAAAGCATCAAAAACAAAACCAATCGGTATTGGGCGGAGAATCTCATAAGGCTCACATACTAGTTCGTGATCCTTTATTTGATAGATGTGGAACAAATTTTAACACTCCAGCACGTAGGACCCCCACTTGCACGTGTAGAGCTAGACAGAAGATTAGAAAGATGGGATTAGAATATAAAAAGGTGTACTTATCGCACAAAGGGATGAAATATTGTGCATTGCCCAAAAGCCTCCAATAGTTCAACTTTGGTACCCTCTTCGAAGGCTACATAAAAATCAATTGGCAACGAATGGAGAGATCTCTCAACAATTTAAACCAATATTGGGTTGTCTTAATCTTGCGATGTAGTATTAAAGTTTTCTTCACAGAGTATTCTAAGGTTAAGGGTTACCTTTCTATTTGTCCTTTGGCAATTGAGCTTTGACTCATCAATCGGTAATTTTTTACTGAATTTAGAAATTTGGTAAATGCAGGAAAGGATATATTAGACAAGAGTAATAGATTCTTATCAATGGTGTCAATTTGCTCTGTTCAATTGCAATTGGTGCTACGTATTTAATGATAGCTTCTCCATACCAGGAATTTTTGTGCATTTTTTGAATTATTTCCCTCTTTTACTCTTATGTGGTTCTTTGTACAAGGTGTCAACATTGTACCTACCGCAACCTATGGGTACGCAACATCTGAGCTTGGTTTGCATGCTAAACTGCAACGAACAGGCTATCTTAACTGTCCCACGGGCAAAAGAAGGGGATGATTTTATTCAGACCACAAGATTACTTGATTTATATTGGATTTCGGATTGAAGTAAAACTTCTAGATTGCCAAATGATGTGTCAAAGAAAAGATTTCCCCCGTGTAAATGTTGTGAAATCCTTTTGAAATGTTATGAAGGCATAGTATATCAAGCTATTTGAAATACATACATACATTTAGATTTGTGTTCACAAATTTGAAATGGCAACAGGTTGCAATCTTTCTGAAAAGAAATAAGATGAGTTCAAGTCGGTTGATTGTAGTATAGACCAACTTTCAGATTATGGCAGTGTTATACTTTAAACAGTTTATTGTAAGTTGCTGTTTTGGAATGAGTACCAAAAAACTAATTTCTTGGTTTTTTTTTTAACTAATGCATCCTTTTCACATTTATGGTAAGTTGTTTGAACAAGTTATCATTTTGTTTCTGTTATGAAAATCATTCTTATTTTTAATTGGTGGTTCTTGTTGCAGTGTTCTAATGGTCACACATTATGTTCTGGTTGCAAGCCTAGGGTGCACAACCGGTGCCCAACTTGCAGGCATGAACTTGGCAACATCAGATGTCTTGCATTGGAGAAAGTGGCTGCATCCCTTGAACTTCCATGTAAATATCAGAGTTTTGGGTGCATTGGCATCTACCCGTATTACAGCAAGGTAAAACATGAATCCCAATGCGTTTTCAGACCCTATAATTGCCCCTATGCTGGATCAGAGTGCACGGTCATTGGCGATGTTCCTTCTCTTGTGGCTCATCTAAAAGATGATCACAAAGTTGATATGCACAGTGGCACTACTTTCAACCATCGTTATGTCAAATCAAATCCTCACGAGGTGGAAAATGCAACATGGATGCTAACGGTAATACTTTTTTTTTCAAGTCTCTGGTTTTTAAGTTGTATTAAAAGGCTTCGATGTTCGCCTTCTTTCAGCTGATGAGGGCACCAGTATGTTTTGACAGCAATCACAGCACAAGTAATGTATGGAGGTGCTGTTCCAACTGTTCTCCCATGTTGCTAAATTCTGACAGAAGAGTGGAGAGTCCTGATTTAGATACAATTTGTTATTTGATGCGCAAGACTAACCTGTTAATGACATTAGAAAAAAAAAATCAGCGTACTGTTTAATCTGAATCAATCAACTTTCAGAGATTTCCCATTGTTTTTTCCCCTGCAAACATGGCGATATATGCTCTTATGTGATTTCATGCTCACTTCCATGCTTGTCTGGATATTAGTTTTCTTGATTTTGAATTCATCTCACAGATCTTGATAACCTTTTATCATGGATGTGCGTGCTCCATAAGCTGATTATCTTTTTTCTAATCTCTAGGTCTTCAGTTGCTATGGTCAATATTTCTGTTTGCATTTCGAAGCATTCCAGCTGGGGATGGCTCCTGTCTACATAGCATTCTTGCGGTTTATGGGTGATGATAATGAGGCCAAGAATTACAGCTACAGTCTGGAGGTTGGGGGGAACGGGAGGAAGATTACTTGGCAAGGGGTGCCTAGAAGCATAAGGGACAGCCATCGCAAGGTTCGTGACAGTTTTGATGGTCTCATCATCCAACGCAACATGGCACTTTTTTTCTCTGGTGTAGACCGGAAGGAATTGAAGCTCAGGGTTACCGGTAGAATATGGAAAGAACAGTGACGGAATTGTAAGATGTGCAACTTATGCCTACGATTTTAATCTAGATTAGTTTCTTTTAGCTGTGTCATGGAGGTTTGTGTTCGTGTATTCTTTGGCATGTAGGTGGCAAAGTCTCTTTGCTAGTCTATGCAGGCATGAACTATCGAGATGTTATATTTTTGGAAAATTTATGATTAGTGTTTGTGTTTATGTTTGACAAGTGTCACTAACCAAACCCAGAACGTGCTAACTAAATCCCAAAACGTGGGAACCAAACTAAAAAAAATTGCTAACCTCACTGAAGAACGTGCTAACCACACCTAGAAGTTATCATTAAAACCCATAATTTTTTTCAAGAGTTTTCTCCTTTAATCTATATTTTAAAATGTAAATAAATATACCGGTGAAGGTGATTAAGATTTATACGTTTTTTGTAATTTTTTTATGAACATATGGCAAACAAGGGAGTCTTTTTATTTTTTAGTACCATATCGGAAAATAGGATATAGTATCAAAGTGTATTCCTAAGGGAAATGTTTTTTCAAACTTAACTTGAAATTAATTTGTTACTAGTTTCGCATAAAAAGTTTATAATGTCCATGCAATTGCGATATCAAAATACAAAATTAAGTTTGGCCAAAGTTAAAAAAAATAATTATTATTTGATTAAATTGGAAGGTGAAATTTGATACAATGTGATAAATAAGAGGGATAGGGCTTTTTTTTTTTTCCTTTTTTTCAGTAGGTAAATAGGGAGGGTCATTTTGGTTAAATGAAGGGGGGTAGGGTGCAAACTGTCAAGCCAGTTTCTTTCCTGACCTTAAAGTTGCTGATCTTGCACATACAAGTGACTTGGTTCAAGTTTTTCCCCTTTAGTGGCCTGTATAATCAAAGGCATTGTGTGGGGTATTTTTTGCACAATGGTTGAAATGAGAACAGATATCTCCTATGGTGAGCTCCGATCCGTTGGGATGGTGGATCCGACAACAAGGAATGAGTTGAGAGAGTCAAATGAGGCCTAAAGAATGGTGATGAATTGTCTCAGGGGGTGCCTGAACGGTGCCGGTGGACTACAAGAGGTTCCTAAAATACAGAAAACAAGTTAGAATGGCGCTGGAGTGTTCTCCGACGTATCCCCTCTGACGATCTAGTCAGTTTTTTGAGAGAGGAGAAGAAGAAAACATTGTATATGGCTCTTGTGAGATGATTTTGCGTACTTTTACAATGTATTTTTGAAGACTATTTATACCTTCAAGGACTAATCATTTGCTAACAGTCTAATCAGTAGGTAGTGTCCAAAAATGGGGCAGTGTGCCCCCTGTTTTGCGTGAAAAATGTCTTAGTATTGATTGTTCGGGCTCCTGAGCAATTAATATCCTTTCTTCAATGCAAAGACTTTAAATGCTAGGGATCCAGGGCAATTAATACCCCCCATCATAGACTATTCCAACTACTATGGATGTCACATCATTTGAGAATTCATTAAATACTTGCCCAGAGTAGCCGCATGTCAGCAGGGGTAGTTCTGCCCTTTTACCTTTCACCTTTCACTTTATGCCACGCGTCTGACTCCCCCTAGTTGAGTGTTTAGTTCATTCTGTCATTCTAACTCCATTGAGCAGAATGTCCTCTTAACTCCTAATCTAGTTTAGACTGCCCAATTGTCGATTGGTAGCCTTCCTAGAAGACGAGGGCCCAGGGGAAAGACCAGTGTGAGTACTCTTGGGGCTGAGGATACTTGATTCCTCCTGCGGGGTCGAGGGACACATGTCACGGAGCTATGGGAACATGCCTTGAAGCTGAGGGATCATGCTAGTCAGAACAAGGGGTCTTGGGGCCAAGGACACATGTCATCAGGCCAAAGCCTTTCTATAAATGTCCCATCAGGCATCAATAAGGACAAAGCTAAGATTTTTGGCTAAAATACTTTTCAGCTATGACATTTTACCTTACATGTAATCTTGTTGTTGGATTACAGGCTACTAGCTTACTAAAAATGGTAAAAGACAACTATATTATTATTTTTGAAAAATAGTGAACTATGTATTAGATAGAAGATATGTATTATTTTTGGTCCATGTATGTGCAAGTCAAGACATTTCATATTTGTTTTACTNTGAAGGGGGGTAGGGTGCAAACTGTCAAGCCAGTTTCTTTCCTGACCTTAAAGTTGCTGATCTTGCACATACAAGTGACTTGGTTCAAGTTTTTCCCCTTTAGTGGCCTGTATAATCAAAGGCATTGTGTGGGGTATTTTTTGCACAATGGTTGAAATGAGAACAGATATCTCCTATGGTGAGCTCCGATCCGTTGGGATGGTGGATCCGACAACAAGGAATGAGTTGAGAGAGTCAAATGAGGCCTAAAGAATGGTGATGAATTGTCTCAGGGGGTGCCTGAACGGTGCCGGTGGACTACAAGAGGTTCCTAAAATACAGAAAACAAGTTAGAATGGCGCTGGAGTGTTCTCCGACGTATCCCCTCTGACGATCTAGTCAGTTTTTTGAGAGAGGAGAAGAAGAAAACATTGTATATGGCTCTTGTGAGATGATTTTGCGTACTTTTACAATGTATTTTTGAAGACTATTTATACCTTCAAGGACTAATCATTTGCTAACAGTCTAATCAGTAGGTAGTGTCCAAAAATGGGGCAGTGTGCCCCCTGTTTTGCGTGAAAAATGTCTTAGTATTGATTGTTCGGGCTCCTGAGCAATTAATATCCTTTCTTCAATGCAAAGACTTTAAATGCTAGGGATCCAGGGCAATTAATACCCCCCATCATAGACTATTCCAACTACTATGGATGTCACATCATTTGAGAATTCATTAAATACTTGCCCAGAGTAGCCGCATGTCAGCAGGGGTAGTTCTGCCCTTTTACCTTTCACCTTTCACTTTATGCCACGCGTCTGACTCCCCCTAGTTGAGTGTTTAGTTCATTCTGTCATTCTAACTCCATTGAGCAGAATGTCCTCTTAACTCCTAATCTAGTTTAGACTGCCCAATTGTCGATTGGTAGCCTTCCTAGAAGACGAGGGCCCAGGGGAAAGACCAGTGTGAGTACTCTTGGGGCTGAGGATACTTGATTCCTCCTGCGGGGTCGAGGGACACATGTCACGGAGCTATGGGAACATGCCTTGAAGCTGAGGGATCATGCTAGTCAGAACAAGGGGTCTTGGGGCCAAGGACACATGTCATCAGGCCAAAGCCTTTCTATAAATGTCCCATCAGGCATCAATAAGGACAAAGCTAAGATTTTTGGCTAAAATACTTTTCAGCTATGACATTTTACCTTACATGTAATCTTGTTGTTGGATTACAGGCTACTAGCTTACTAAAAATGGTAAAAGACAACTATATTATTATTTTTGAAAAATAGTGAACTATGTATTAGATAGAAGATATGTATTATTTTTGGTCCATGTATGTGCAAGTCAAGACATTTCATATTTGTTTTACTCGATCAAAAAAGTAAACACTTATGTTAATTGGATTCATTTTCCACATTGTCCCAAGAAAGTATTAAAAATGTTGTAACGTAATACTTTATGTTATTTTTCTGTTACTCATTATGTCAATATTAATGAGATAGTTTTTAACAGCATAAGAAACATAATCTAATAAAAAGAATTACATTACAATATTTTTAATATATTAAGTGTTCAATGTAAAAAATCTAATTTTTGAGAGTAGTGAAAATATTTAGGATAAACTCACACCCCCTGACATTTGACTAAATAACACGGAGACTTCATGACATTTCTAAAATTACACAGAGACCTCTTATCGGCGTCAATAGATGACTGGCGTTAACATAAATTAAATGACTATTTTAACCCTTTAACTTAATTTAAAATAAATGTATAATAAATAAAATATATTACAAAAAATTAAATTAATAAGTCAAAAAAAAATCTCTCCTATTCTCACTCATCCTTTCCCCCACCCGACTGTCGCCGCCACCACCACTCCTCCTCCTCTCCTATCCTCTCTCTCTCACACTCACACACATAGATCCCCCAGCCCCCAACCCCATTTCTCACTCATCCCTTATCCCACCTGATCGTCGTCGCCGCCACTCCTCCTATCCTCCTCTCCCTTCTCTCTACCAACTGTTCAATTCATCTCTCTTTATTTCTCACAAATCCTTCAAACCCCTAACCCCATTCTCTATCTCTATCTCAGATCCCCCTAGTCCTTGCCCCAACCCACCCAACCCAGCTGTCACCACTACCACCATCATTCCCCAATCCTTATCTCTCTCACAAATCTACTATGCCCCACCCCTCCCTGCAACCCACCCAACCCCAGTTGCCGCCACCCCCACCACTCTTCTCAACCTCATTCTTTCTCTATCTACCTCTTTTTTCTCTCTCCCTCTCAAATCCCCCAGGCCCCGCCCGTCCCTATAACAAACCCTACCACACCCAACTCAACTGCCACCACCACCACTACCAACCCCCTTCATTCTCCCTCTACCTCTATTTTCTCTCTCCCTTTTAGATCCCCCAAGCCCCCCCACCCCTTCCCTGTAACAAACCCCACCACACCCAATCCAGCTGCCACCATCACTCCTAACCCCTTCTTTCTTTCTCTCTCTCCCTCCCTCTTAGATGGTATTTTTGATTAATCAAAATCTTGTCCACTAATTATCCTAGCTAATGGTATTTTTTATTAATCAAAATGTAATGGTTTAATGTTATTTTTTGATTAATTTTTATAATAGCATAATTAATGTTGTTAAAATGGTAAATTGTTGATAATTAGTGGACAAGATTGTTTTAGAAAATGTTGGACATGTTATAAACGGGTAATTTTGAAATTAGACAAATTTTGTTCCTTGACATCATTATTTTCTGTTAGTCAAACTAATGGCGAGAAGACGAAAGCGGTGTTCGTGTCATGATTTTTAAATTTAGGGGGTCTTTGTGTAATTTTAAAATGTAAGGAGGTCTCTATATTATTTAATCAAATATCAGGGGATGTGAGTATAATTTATCCAAATTTTTATATCTTTTGGG